CGGTTGCTTTCCCTGTTTCCCACTCTCCCTCATGATGATAGCCGGATCACGCTCGATGACCATGCCACTCCTGGAATGGGAAGAGTATGTTCCTCCCCGAAATTTCAGAGGCATCACCCACGATATGGATGGATGCGGCAGCCACTACCGGCTTCTCTGCCATTTATGGTTCTGAGTGGCTCTGGGGTGCTTGGCCAGCAGAGGTTCTGGGCATTGAGGGTTTTTCCACTATCTCTGCTCTTTTTCAAATTTAGCCGATTGTAGCGGCTGCTGTGGTTTGGGGTTGGGCGTGGTCGGGTTGTCCAGTTCGCTGTTTCTCGGACAACCAGGCCACGTGCCACATCATTAATAAAGGGTGTTCTTCCTCTCTTGTTATTATGAGGTTCCTCAGGAAATTGACGTGGCTGGCGGCTAGTCATCATTTCTTTCTGACCTGTATTCATGTGCCAGGTGTCACGAATATTGCTGCTGACAGGCTGTCTCGGTTTCAATTTCAGGCCTTCCGCGCAGCTCTGCCTACGGCCTCTGCCACTGCCGCCCCTCTGTTTCAGGAGCTGATCATGGACTGAATGCCTTGTTGTCCCATGGCCCTCACCTTGCCCAACTGTCTCTTTCCGTTAACACACGCAGGGCTTATGACAGGGCCTTCTCTTTGTTTAAGAGGTTTTTATTGAAATATGGTGTTACTTATTCTTTTGCCATGTCGACTGTGGTAGGTTTTGCTTCCTTTTGCCACCTTAAACTAGCACAATCACAAAGTACCATCAAATTGTATCTATCAGGTATACAACACCACATGTTTCTTTTTTTTTCCAACAAACACAGCTTCATATCTTCATACCAGATCAAATCCGTACTTAGAGGCATTCAGAAAACCGGTCACCCCCACAGCACATAAGAGGTTACCCATTGACACCCAATTACTATACTCTCTTTCGGACCTTCTAGATGCTGGTCCTTTTGATCCTCGCACCGACCCAGTAATTAAAACTGCAATTTACCTGGCTTTCTACAGTTTTCTTAGACCCCATGAATTTACCACAACTACCACGACCAACCTACATTATTGCCTCAGGAGGTCTCACCTAGCTAAATTGGGAGACTATTATGTACTTACACTTCCACACACTAAAACTACACAGGATGGACAAGACGTTAACATACTCTATTACCCGACACATAATAAAAAAGTGCCCGGTTAAGATCCTAGATTCCTATCTACTGACTCTTAATATCCAAGCTTCCCAATAACTGTTAACTTTGCATGGTTCAGTCCTTACCACATCTAAATTTCTGACTTACGTCAGATTATTGATCACGAGGCTAGGTCTCAACCGTTCCGACTATTCTGGCCACTCTTTCAGAATGGGGTGGCTTCCACGGCCTCTAGCAAGAACATACCTGTACATATAATCAAAACACAAGGTTGTTGGAAGTCCTCCTCATACTCTCTGTACATACCACAACCAGTACAAGAATTCAGACATGCCTTTCATAATATATCCATGTTCTTCCTTTTGTTGATTGTAATAAATTCCAGTCTGTATCTATTTTTGCCTTCTTTATTTACAGGCCTACTGCTACGTCGGTTCCGGCACACCTCAACCGACTTTTCCTCTTCTTACACCTTGCTACACCTTCCTACTCTCCTTACACTCTTGCTTCGACCTTTTTATGCCTCTATCACAAATGTGAAGGCTTGGTCTGCAGTTGTGGGAGGGGTATGGTCCTCTACTTAAGCCCACTACTGACCTGCACCTGTCCCGTTTGTTCCTTAGCGTTGCTTGACTCCACCCTCTTCTCCCTTTTTATACTTTTTCTTTACTCCTTACTGGGTGGGCCCTCTTTATTTACAGGCCTACTGGTATGTCGGTTCCAGCACACCTCAACCGACTTTTCCTCTTCTTACATCTTGCTACCACTTCCTACTCTCCTTACACTGTTGCTTTGGCCTTTGTATGCCCCCATCACAAGTGTATAATATCGGTTTATTAAGTATTGTGAACATGGTGGAATCATCGAAGATTGTGAACATGGTGGGTGACACATAAAAAGGAATTATGCTAAATATACTCGTACATCGATTATGTTGCCTTTCCCCTTAGGATATGTATGGACCTACCCACTGCTGCACATGAGTGGCAGCACATAGTGAACTAGCAAGCTGGGCATTTACATATGTAGGTTTTAATAGTCTCCTATCAGGACTTGTCTTTTCATTTAAACACGCCCCGTGTTATAGGTAATGGGAAGACACCTGCTATGAATGATGAACATGAGCAATAAGGGTTTCTAAGGGTGGAGTTTGCTTACATTTGCTTTATAAACCCCCGCCAAAACGTGCGTTAGTTGTTTTTAAATTGTTCACAATATGTGAGTGGCGATCTGCCTGTAGGACTCTCTAGCTGTAATCCGACTTCTTGGGATGTGTAATTGCAATGCTACCATTTGACTCTTTTTAAACATTGATAGGAGAGCCTTAAGAAATGCAAGGTAAAAGGGTGGTTAAGTCATGGTAGAACTCTCAGATACATCCTTATATCGGAGGTCCAGCCTCCCAGTGAGTATCTACCCTAAATAAGTAGCATTTGTTATACCAGTTCTCTTTGCTATTTTTATAAGGATCAATTGTGATTTATATTGCTGGGTCATTTTCCATTGTGGGATTATAAACCTATGTCCTCTCTATATTCACTCCATAGACTAAGATCTAATTAGGAGACTTCACATGTATATATTTTCTTAGGTTAGGTGATGGGTTTATTATTATTTTTTACTGATTATTTGCGTCCTTGAAAACTTTAAATTTTTTTGTCCAATTTTGAATAAACTATCCTTATAATTTTTTAGGGATTTTCTCATTTCCATTTTCCATCTTTTAGTAGGAGTTCTTTGGAATTAGTTATTATTGTTTAATTGTATAGGACTAGCGTTCTTCTACTGCACGTCTAGATTTCCATGCCTTGGTATAGGCATATATATCATTCTCTCATGTTTGAAAGCTTATGATAACTAACTTTTTATAACTAATAATATAATTTTCATTAGTTCTCATTGGATTTATAATTTGTTTGTCTCATATTTTGTCTAATTTTTTTTTATGTTCTAGTTCGATTAGCAGGCCTAGTATATGGCACTGTTGAGATTACAACAAAACAATTGTGTGGTGAGATCCAATGTTCTTGCTTATTTGCTGCTAGCAAGTTATTTTTCTGGTGCATTTTTTGATATTTAATAGATATTTGCTTTTTTTTGTCAATATAAGAATGTATCCCTGTAGTTTGTGGGACTTTATTCTGTGAGAGCACTCTGACTTATTTCTGTGATATTTGTATGTATAAAAGTGTACTCTTTTGTTTAGTTGCTGTTTTTTTCTTTACATTTCTATATTTTTTATGATTTTAATTTTTTGGACAGAACATTAGATCATGTATTATCACTATCACTACATCTCCAACTGAGGAGGATTTCCATGGGCAAATTGTTTTTATTTTTCTGCCTTACCTTCCCCTCTTTTTTTACTTCTTTTCCCCCCACTTTTTAAAAAAAAAATTAAATTTTATTTTTTTATTTTTAGACCCTGTGGAAAACATCTATGCTGTCAAACCTGTGTCTAAATAACCTTGTTGAATGACAGTGGCTAAACCGTGTTATGATTCAATTTGTTGCACCCATATATATATATCCCAACAACATTTTTTTTTCCAACTTACTTTAAGATGTTACTTGCATGCAAAGGATATTTGCCATTTTTCTCATAGGGTGAAATTGGCATTGGAAATCTACATTCTTTTAATAAACATATTTGCAAATTAACCTACATTTGGTTAGGTGTGTGGTATCCAATTGTTTTATAAAGTATCAATACTACATACAGCAAGGCAGTCCAAGGGACTCAATAACTGAGCAAGATGAGAAGACCCCTGGTTAAATAGGCAATAATGATTATAACAATTTGTTATAATTATTATTGCCTATTTAACCAGCGGTCTTCTCATATTGCTCAGTTATTAAGTCCCTTGGACTGCCTTGCCGTGTGTAGTATTAACAACCTGCAACAATTAAGCATTAGATCATGACATTACTGCACAGAGTATATGAGGCAAAGAAAACCCTTACTTGGAAACAGGCTGACAGTCAGAATATTTGAATATGATTGCCAATCCGGTGCATCACTTCAGGATTTTAGCATATTAATCTGTTAAAGAATGAATGCATTTTACACCCTGTCACATTCATACACTTATACATATAACATGTCACCTACTCCCACCCACTTTGCAATTACCATATCATACAGTCAAATCCGGTCCTTGAGAAAGACCCGAATGGGTCGAAACGTCGGCTAATTTTTCATGTAATACCTATTGGAATAAATTAGGTTATTTTTAGGGCAAAATGAGCTGCAATAGAAAACTGTTCTTCAGGTTTTATCCATGCAGTGTATTTATCTGGTTCTATCATTCAGCATGACACATTCTATAAACCTTTGTCATATGTATAAGAAAGTGACTTGAAATATTGTTTATGAATGCAGTGCATGTTAGACTTCATCTGACGCCATTTCTTCTTAACATTGCAGTCTTAACATGACTTTGCATTCCTCAGCTTACATGCTATCTGAAAAATCTAAACATTTGAGGGAGCTATACTATTTTTTTCCATTCTATTTGGTGGGAAGTTGTCAGCAGAAAATCAAAGAAGCAAGAAAAAATCAATCATTTAAAAAAATATAGCATTTTTTTGTAATGTGTAGTATTTTCATAGCCCAGAAAAGCTAGATTTCTTGTTATAAATCAATGTAAGACACTCTAGAACAAGCAGAACAAAAAAATATGCTGGTTAGACTTAGAGGGGGATTTTACTCTTTGTAATTTAGATAATGTACTACCTATTTAAAAATATATTAAATCCTGTGCAGTTTTCAGATAAATGTGAAGGCTTGGCCTGCAGTTGTGGGAGGGGCATGTTAACCTATTTAAACCCCCTCCTCACCTTCCTCAGTCCTGTTTCTGTTTTTGACGTTTTGCATGTCGGGTCGTCCTTCCTCTCCTTTCCGGCTCCTCGCTCCTTACATGGGGTCTCCGTGCTTGCCTCATGTCTCGGGTCTCCCGGGGTGTTGTCTCCGCTGGTGGCTGCTTGCCGCTCCTCTCTCCGGCGTTTCTGGCTGTCAGCCCCCTCGCTGCCGCCGGCGCTGACACGAGTCTCGCGTCGCACTCACCGTCGGTCGCACGTCCATGCGGCCACGCCAGCATGTGTCGGGTGCAGCGTTTGGGGCAGGTAGGGGCTTAGACATAGCTCGTCTGCCTATGTAGGACCCTTCCATCAATATCAGTGAGTCAGTTTTTTGTGTAGTGGGAGTGTAATTCTAGCGCTGTATAATTACCAGTTATAATGGAAGCTTGCCCCTTTTCTCCTGTGTTAGCAGTGTGTATATTTTATTAATTTATTTTTTGCATGGTCAGTTGTCTGGTGCGAGCATTCTCTAATGTACACTGTAATTTGTATAATAACATAATGTGTTGCCAGCCTGAATGTGTTATTATTTGACTAGATATATTTTATATTTTAAAACCTTATCCTTTCTTGTTACACAAGAACTAGCTTTTCAGTTTTCCAACATTCCTCAGCTGGAATTCTTACTGTTTCCAAAATAATTTCGAGTTCTGGATGCTTTCTAAGATAACACATCCATGCAGGGTCTGATAAGACTAATCCCATTGTGGAACTCGAACTGAAATTCCCAAAGAAATAACTTTTACCCCTTATATGCCAAAACGTTGACAACGGATAGATTGCTGCAGCTTTTACCCTGCATTCATGTTAAGTATCCTCATGGTTGCTGTGTTCAAACTACAGGCTGGGGGAACCGACAGTTAGACGTGATGTATAACACTCTCACGTGTTCCTTCCTCTGAATTGTGGGACACTCACCCTCTCACCCATGGTTCACTCACTTTGTCGTTAGACTTGCCTGTCTGCTGGTGCACAGAGGGTTAGAACATTTTGTTAAACAAGTTATGTAAACTATAACTTTTGGTTCGCATATTCGGCACAAACGACAATCTGTGCCCATCATGTGTGCACGGTCTACCACTCTCCTTTTCCATTCTAATTGGCTGGACTCCGTCGGGCTCTCGCTGCCCTCCAGTCGCGGTTGCCCCTACGCTTCTTTTTCATTCCCTGCCCTCTCTTTTCTTTCGCTCAGTACGTCCCTTCTCTCACTCTTTGCCCTCCCCTCTTATTTAGCTGTTGCTGGCTGTCAGAGTCCTAGGTGTCCACTAGCTGTAATTCCCCTGGCTTCTTTGCCTAGGTTAGTGGTCCCGCGAGGCCGACACCCATCCTCGCACTCTGAGGTACAACGCCCCTCGGGCCAACTCATAGTTAGTCGCCTCGCACTATTGCATAGAGAGGGCCTCACCTGTCACTCCCACTCTATCTTATGTTTAACCGTCACCGAGAGGCCGACACCCCGCCACAACGTTCTGTGGTCACGATATCCCCTCGTGCCAACGCATATAGAGCCTCTCACGCCGCTTGGCATGTAGCAGGGCCTCACCTGTCACCAAACCTAGTTTTAATTGTTTCGCCATTTGGCTTAGCTAGTATGCCAGCGCTCACACACACGCACACACTCGCACTGGGTCTCGTGAACCCCATGGGGTTTACACCACCACAGCTTCTGTTACCTACTGCCGAGCTTGCTCCTTTCAGCCTGTCCACCCGGACTCGGTCGTGCTTACTCTGCTTTCGGTCACGGTCGGCACTGCGGTTTTCCTCGTTCACCCTCACAGGTTTTAATACTCGTTTCAGCACATCTGTCCTCTCACACTGCCTTCCCTCCCCTCTTAGTTAGCTGTGGCTGGCTGTAAGGGTCTTAGGTGTCCACTAGTTTGTAGTTCCCTCCCTGGCTTCTTCGCCTTAGTTTAGTGGTCCCGCGAGGCCAACACCCATCCTCATACTCGGAGGTACTACGCCCCTCGGGCCAAATCATAGTTAGTCGCCTCGCACTATTGCATAGAGAGGGCCTCACCTGTCACTCCCACTCTATCTTATGTTTAACCGTCATCGAGAGGCCGACACCCCGCCACAACGTTTCAGTGGCCACGCTTTCCCCTCGCGCCAACGCATAGATAGAGCCTCTCACGCCGCTTGGCATCTAGCAGGGCCTCACCTGTCACCAAACCTAGTTTTTAATTGTTTCGCCTTTTTGGCATTAGCTAGTATGCCAGCCCGCACACATACACTCTTTCTCGCTCACACGCATGTTGGGTCGCTTATGCCTATGGCCTCTCCCGCAGCCGCTTCCTTTCCCGGATTTTCGGGGCTTGTCGTGGGTTGCCTACTTTGTAAACTCGTGTTTTTGCCTTTCTTTCACATACGGCTCTCATTTTTCTAGCACTTGCAGCACCTGGGTTTTCGGTCCTTCTTCCCCTTCCCCACGTGTACTGGCTTTGTTGATATGTTGTCCGCGATTGACTTTCGCTTCTTTTGCCACCTCTTACTTACATCAACTCTACCTATCCGGTCTATAACTTCACTTGTGGTACAGGTTTCTAGTCACACGCTTTTCCATGTCGCCATACCAGTTTATTACCATACTCAAGGTTTCAAGTTCTGGGAATTTTCAATCTCCGGTTTCCCATCTACATCCAAGTTTTATAATTACTATCAGACCTATATTACACTTGTCATCATGACCAGGCATCAATTTTCTATGTAGGGCGATATCTGCTTGATCCAAGGATAAATCCGACTGCCATTCTGGGGTCAAGAAGGAATTTTTCCCTAGCTTGTTGCAAATTGGAAAGCGCATCAAACTGGGTTTTTCGCCTTCTTTTGGATCAACAGTTTAATCACAGATGTGAGGTAGGCCGGAATTGGGGGTCGCTAGTCTTTTCAGCTAGGTTACTAGGTAGTCTAGTTGTCAAGCCGGTGTACAGTTTCTCGTGGACACACATATCTCCCACAGTCACCACGTTTACTTATTTATTTTGCAGCCCTGTCTCAAGAAATCTCACCTATTTATGCAGTCTATTGTTTACCGTCTCTACCCCACTCCCAGTTTACGCTAGATGGCCAACATGTTTTCCTTACTTCCCCATGCACAAGTTAGAGGGCCGTTGAAAGCGCCGGGCACCTCATTACTCACTCAGCTGTTACCTTTCAGATAGGTTATTTTAGGTTGTTGATTGCTTTTATATAGATTTCCTTTTTTGCCCTCTTTTATTACAGGCCTACCACGACGTCGGTTCCGGCACACCACAACCGACTTATTCCCCTTCCCTTTTTATTTCCTTTACGGCCTTATTTGCCCCTCACACAAATGTGAAGGCTTGGCCTGCAGTTGTGGGAGGGGCATGTTAACCTATTTAAACCCCCTCCTCACCTTCCTCAGTCCCGTTTCTGTTTTTGACGTTTTGCATGTCCCCATCCTCCACTCCCTTTATTTATACTTTTCATTACACCTCATGGGTGGGCCCTCTTTTATTACAGGCCTACCACAACGTCGGTTCCGGCACACCACAACCGACTTATTCCCCTCCCCTTTTATTTCCTTTACGGCCTTATTTGCCCCTCACACAAACAAAGGTAGTTTTGTTTAATTAAGTATGGCCAAAAGGTGGATTCCTAGCCGTTGGTGAACTGCACCTCCCTCCTGTAATAACAAGGGATCATGAAAGTTGTAGTTCCAAACACCTGTGGATCTATGTTACGGGGATGGTAACAAAATCACACAACAATAAAATCCATACCCTGATCCAGGAAACATCCCGAAGCGGACACATAAATGATGCACCTAGAGGAACCAGTGCCACTCAAGCTTCTCGTTAAGAACATGAGGTGACACTGTGTCCAGGAGGTGCATCTAGCAGACTTCTTTCTGCAATAATATTTTTTTCTCTGTTCCCTCCTCTAGTATGTGGGGGAACCCTTTCCAGTACTTGGTAATGTAACTGTGAAACGATGTTGCATGATTTTCTTACCATCCCTGTTTAGTTTTTCTCTCTCTTTTATTCCATCTTGGATGGCACGCTGTTTACCCTCACGAGGGAGTGAGGGTGGTCTCTATTCATTTAATCATTACTCTTTTTGTATGTGTTTTATGGTTCTTTCAACACTTTATCATATGTCTCACTTGTTGGGTCATCTGTCTGGTTATTTCTGTGATCCCTGGTTATGCACATATATATGTTGTATGTCTTGATACAGGTCTGTGTGTTCTGTATATTTCAATACAGTTAATTTTTATACCTATGCTTTATTTTCTACTGAACCTGTATGTGCATAAGCATTTCTGCTAGTTTGAATTATAATTTTGGTATACTATAATATCCCTTGAAATGCTTTGATGCTCTAAAATTCTGTTTTGCCACTTTTTGCAGACGATTGTTTAATTGTTTACCCGTTGCCTTGCAACGTCACCATACACCTGCCTACCGATCCAGGAAGTCACTGGAGGTGTTGAACTTGCTGGGGCTATGGAAAGTTACCACACATCAGATCCTTTTTGTGTATCTGATTACTTGGGGGCGGCACTCTGGGTCATGTAAGCATTTTGTTTGTGTATATATTGACTGTATCTTGTGTACACTGTAGGACATTATCATTGAGAAAGGGCTTTCACACGAAACATTGAATGTTGGTACTTTGTCGTCCAATAAACTGTGGTAGCACCTGAGTGTGCACACTGGATGCGCAGGACCCTTTTTCCTTCATTGTTTGCCAAATTACACTGATGGGACTACAGTGTGGATCTTCTGCAACACAGGTTTAACCTTTTTTTTGTCAGACTGTGATTGTGTAGGCATATTGTTTGTCTCTACCTCACCCTATGCATAGACAATGCTCAGAGTAGGCAGACCTACCAACATCTTCCTTCAGTACACACTGTGTAAAGTAAATAAATCACAGGTCAGTAAAACAACTAGGCAAGAGGAAGTTTTTATTTATTTATCTATTTATATCTATATATTTTTTCTTTTTTAATTCACTGGATGATGAGGGGTTTGACTATTCATGTCAAACCTGTTTCTGTCAACTTCTGCTCTGCTTTAGGGTGGTAGTGGATGTCGACTGGTTGTAGGTTGTGACAACTCCATAGATTCAAATACAGTACCAGTGAATCTTCTGTCTGCCCTAAGACTTTCTTGTTCTGCTTCTTTCCTCAGAAATACAGACTTGTGGTAACGTTACAGAAGTTTCTTCATAATGGTCCTAGTGAGATGACAGTTCACTCAACCCTACTTCCTTC